GAGTAGAAGTAAGTGAAATAGAATCTAAAAAACAAACAAAAAACAAAAATTAATACAAAGGTCAATGAAGCCAAGGGCTGTGTTTTTTTTTTTCAAAGAGAAACAAAATTGAAAAACTTTAACCAGACTCATCAAGAAAAAAAGAGAGAGAACCCAAATAAATAAAATCAGAAATGAAAGAGAAGTAGTAACAACTAACACCACAGAAATATAAGACATTATAAGAAAATAGTACAAAGAATTACATGCCAACAAATTGGACAATCTACAAGAATGGATAAATTCCTAGAAACATATAATTTTCCAAGACTAACTCAAGAATAAACAGAAAATCTGAACACATTGATGACTACTAATGAAATTGAAGCAGTAATAAAAAAAAAACTTCCAACAAACAAAAGTCCTAGATTGGATGACTTTACAGGTTAATTTTTCCACACTCAAATAAGAATTAACACCTATCATTCTCAAACTATTCTAGAAAATTTAATAAGAGGGAAGTCTCTCAGGCTCATTTTATGAGGCCACCATTACCCTAATTAAAAAGATACTCTAAAAATAATTATAGGCTAATATTTCTCATGAACATAGATGCAAACATCCCCCCCAAAACATGAACAAACTGAATTAAACAATGCATTAAAAAGATTATACACCATGCTTAACTGTGGTTTATTCCTGGTATGCAAGGTTGGTTCAATATCTGCAAATCAATTCATGTGATACACCACAAACAAAACGAAGGCTAAAAACCATATGATCATATCCATAGATTAAAAAAAAAAGCAACACAGCCACTTGGCCTGGAGGTCAAACCCTCCCTGGAATTAGCTACAACAATCAAGGCTTAACTACAAGACTGCGCACAAAGACCACTAGGGGGTGCACCAAGAAAGCATAACAAAATGCGGAGACAAAGAAACAGGACAAAATTGTCAATGGAAGATATAGAGTTCAGAACCACACTTTTAAGGTCTCTCAAGAACTGTTTAAAGCCGCCGATAAACTTAATGAGATCTACAAGAAAACTAATGAGACCCTCGATGTTATGTTGGGGAACCAACTAGAAATTAAGCATACACGGACTGAAATAACGAATATTATACAGACTCCCGACAGCAGACCAGAGGAGCACAAGAATCAAGTCAATGATTTGAAATGCGAGGAAGCAAAAAACACCCAACCGGAGGGGCGGAATGAAAAAAGAATCCAAAAATGCGAGGATAGTGTAAGGAGCCTCTGGGACAGCCTCAAGCGTACCAACATCAGAATTATAGGGGTGCCAGAAGAGGAGAGAGAGCAAGATATTGAAAACCTATTTGAAGATATAATGACAGAAAACTTCCCCCACCTGGTGAAAGAAGTGGACTTACAGGTCCAAGAAGCGCGGAGAACCCCAAACAAAAGGAATCCAAAGAGGACCACACCAAGACACATCATAATTAAAATGCCAAGAGCAAAAGACAAAGAGAGAATCTTAAAAACAGCAAGAGAAAGAAACTCAGTTACCTACAAGGGAATACCCATACGACTGTCAGCTGATTTCTCAACAGAAACTTTGCAGGCCAGAAGGGAGTGGCAAGAAATATTCAAAGTGATGAATACCAAGAACCTACAACCAAGATTACTTTACCCAGCAAAGCTATCATTCAGAATTGAAGGTCAGATAAAGAGCTTCACAGATAAGGAAAAGCTAAAGGAGTTCATCACCACCAAACCAGGATTATATGAAATGCTGAAAGGTATCCTTTAAGAAGAGAAAGAGGAAGAAAAAGGTAAAGATACAAATTATGAACAACAAATATGCATCTATCAACAAGTGAATCTAAGAATCAAGTGAATAAATAATCTGATGAACAACAACAACAACAAAAAGCATTTGACAAAATCCAGCATCCATATATGATTAAAATTCTCAGCAAAGTGAGAATAGAGGGAACATACCTCTACTTAATAAAGGCCACATATGACAAGCTCACAGTTATCATTATACTCAATGGGAAAAGGCTAAAAGTACTTTAGCCTCCTGATCCTCAGGAACCAGACAAGGATGCACACTTTGACCACATTTTACCCAACGTAGTATTGGAAGTCTTAGCCACAGCAAATCAGGGAATAAAAAGAAATAAAAAGCACCCAAACTGCAAAAAAGTAAAACTGTTATTATTTGTAGATGGCATTATACTATGTAGAAAGAACCCTAAAAATCCGATCAAAACCCTACTAGAACTAATAAATAAATTCAGTAAAATAGCAGGATGCAAAATTAATAATGAGAATTCAGTTGCATTTTTACATACCAGTAATGAACTGCTAGAAAGGGAAACCAAGAAATCAATTCCATTTAAATCGCATAAAAATATGAGTAGGAATAAATTTAACTAAGGAGGTAAAACACCTGTACTCAGAAAATTACAAAGGCGGTTCCCCTCAGAGATCTGAAAAACCAGAGCAATTCAGGAGAACGAACAAACTTGTGATTCAGCACCACCTATTGGAAAACGATTGAGAGAATTAAGCAAACAGAACACCTAATTATCTCAATTCAAAAAGGCCTTTTCCAAAGCACATTGTATTAAAACTGTCAAAAATTAGTGACAGGAGATTAGATGCATTTAAAAAAAGAGAAAAGACTGCTGTATATATGAGCATTTCTTTTATGTAAACTTAATGGCAACTACATATAAAAACCCCAAACCGAGACACATAACTTAGAAGAAAGAGGAAACAGAGGGAAAAATTATGAAATACCACCAAACAAAAACAACAGACAGAAACACAAGGAAAAAACAAACAGTGGAGGCACAGAGCTACCAGAAAACAAAAGATAAAATGGCTATGGAAAGTCCTCATAGACCAAGAATCACCCTAAATGTACATGAAGTGAATTCACCAATAAAAAGGCACAGAGTGGCAGATTGGATCAAAAACAAAATCCGAGTTACCTCAAAAAATTAAAAGTGGAACTGCTTTATGACCCAGCAATTCCACTTCTGGAAATTTATCTGAAGAAACCTGAAATGCTAATTTGAAAGAATATATGCACCCCCATATTCATTGCAGCATTATTTACAATACCCAAGATTTTGAAGCAGTTCCATCAGTAGATGACTGAGGAAAAAAGTTGTGGTACATTTACAGAATGAAGTACTACTCTGTCATAAAAAGGAAGAAAATTTTACCCTTTGCAACAGCATGGATGGACCTGGAGAACATTATGCTAAGTGAAACAAACCAGTCAGAGGAAAAAAAGTACCATATGATTTCACTCAGATGTAGAATTTAATAATCAAACTGAACTATTAAGCAAAACAGAGACTAATAGAGGGCAGGCAGATAGCTCTGGTGGTGGAGGTTTTAGGAGGGTTGGAGGGATTGAGCAAAAAAGAAAAAAAAAGAGAACTCATGAGCATGGCTGACAGTGTGATGACTGTGGGGGGTGGGGTGGGTAGAAGTGGAAGAGGATATTGAGGGGATAAATGATGGAAAAAATAAAATAATATTTTAAAAAACCAACCATAGCCCCAGCTGGTTTGGCTCAGTGGATAGAGTGTCAGCCTGAGGACTGTCAGTCTCAGGTTCAATTTTGGTCAAGGGCACATGCCTGTGTTGCCAGCTGGATCCCCAGTAGGGGGCGTGCAGGAGGCAGCCAATCAATGATTGTCATCATTGATGTTTCTATCTCTCTCTCCCCCTCCCTTTTTCTCTGAAAGCAATAAAAATATATTAAAAAATCCAATCATATGCTGCCTTCAGGAGACACATCTAATTTGCAAAGACAAAAATAAACTCAAAGTGAAAGGATGGAAAATGATTCTCTAAGCAAATGGCATCCACAGAAAAGCAGACGTAGCCAATGCTTATATCAGACAAAATAGATTCCAGGATAAAAAAGTAATAAGGGTCCAGCTGCAGTGGCTCAGTGGTTGAATGTTGACCTATGAACCAGGAGTTCACGGTTCGATTCCCGGTCAGGGCATATACCCGGGTTGGGGCAGTGTGGGGTGTGCAGGAGGCAGTTGAGCAATGATTCTCTCTCACCATTGATGTTTCTCTCTCTCTTCCTCTCCTTTCCTTCTGAAATCAATCAATATACTATATATATATATATATATATATATATATATACATATATATATATATATATATATATATATATAAAGTGATAGATACAAAATAATCATGGGAATGTAGAGTACAGCATAGAGAATATAGTCAATAATATTTTATAATTATATATATGGTTCCCGGTGTGTACTAGACTTCTTAGGGGATCACTTCATAAATTATATGTATCTAACCGCTATGCTGTACACCTAAACTAATAAAAATATTAAATGTCCACTGTAATTGAAAAGTTAAAAAGTAATAAATAAATGAATAAAATTTATGTTTACACTAAAAAGAAAGAACCAGTATGGTTCTTATTATGACCGGCCAGATTATTATGACCACCCCATCAGTAATTCATTGACACTTCCAAAAATACTGAATACTGAAAACTTCCTAAGCAAATACTCTCAAGGTCTTATTATTATTTGCATAACTAATTCACTACTTTGTACTAATGGGATGGTCATAATTATCTGGCCGGTCATAATAATCTGGCCACTCAGTGTATGTCCCCATGACTTATTTATATTATAAGTAGAAGTTTGTACCTTTTGACTCCCTTCACCCATTTCAACCACCCTTAACCCCCTGCCTTTGGCAACTACCAATCTCTTCTCTGTATCTATGAGTTTGTTTTTTAGATTCTACAGATAAGTGATAGCATTCAGTATTTGTTTGTCTGTCTGATTTATTAAAATTTATTCATTTCTTTTTAAGCTTTTACATTAATTTTCTATTTTTAAATTTCTTTATTGATTAAGATATTACATATGTGTCCTTATCCCCCCATTTAATTTATGAGTGGTCACTCAGCTCCAGTGAGGTTGGGAGAGGAATGAGGTGCAGAATGGACAGAGCTGAGCCTGGGGGCAGACCCAGGTACTTACCTGTGCCTCCAGGTGCATTAAATGTCAGTGACCCATTGGGTGGGGCCTTGCTCAGCTTTTTGAAGACGACATGTTCCATTTTGTCGAGCAGGGTAGTGGCCACATAGTTCTGCTCTGAGTGGGACAAGGTCTCCAGGTCCCCAGGGTTCTCCAGCAGGTCATCCACCCCCTGTATGAGGTCCTGGGGGTGTGGACACAGAGCCATTGGCCCATGCACTAGAGGGGCTACAGGAAGACTTTGCCCACTCAGCTCCAGTAAACGGATTCTAGATACTGTGTATTTGGGGATAAAGGTGGTACCGGATTGCCCCTGCAATCCAGCCATTTAGAGGTCAGTCCTGTTCTTGAATGCCAATGGTGACATAAACTGACTGGGCAGGAACAGCAAGAAAGGTGTTAGTTGGTGTGTGAGGATCTAACAGTGAGTACAAGTACCTGCATGTCTGCTTTCCCCACCCGCCCTGGGAGAAGTGAGGACTCAGAGCAGGGCAGCTCTGTGTCTCTTCCAAAACCAAGGCTTCCCCAGTCCTCTATGGGATGCCTCCATGTGCCTCTCCCAGGTTCTGTCCTTACCTGGATCTTGTCCGGATCTGAGGCTGACTTGAAGTCTCTGTCGAAATCATCAAATTTTTGTAACAAACTGGAGACCTTTGAGGAGAAAGGAGATGTGACGGTCAGAGAGCCTCACAGGTAGATGGGGAAACTTGGGGAAAATAGGTGGGTGCTGCAGGTGGCACGGAGGTATTTCCTGCCTCTTTGTCCCTGTGGGAGTCACTCACCTTGCTGTTGTTGATTCCAGGGTATGCAGTCCCGGTGCCGGTGCCAGTGCTTGTGCCGGTGCCAGTGCTTGTGCCGGTGCCGGTGCCGGTGCCAGTGCCTGTGCCGGTGCCGGTGCCGGTGCTTGTGCCGGTGCCGGTGCTTGTGTTGGTGCCGGTGCTTGTGCCGGTGCCGGTGCTTGTGCCGGTGCCGGTGCCTGTGCCGGTGCCAGTGCCAGTGCTTGTGCCGGTGCCTGTGCCGGTGCCGGTGCCAGTGCTTGTGCCGGTGCTGGTGCCAGTGCCGGAGCTGGTGCCGGAGGGGATCCCTGGTGCAGACAGAAGGGTAGTTCATTAGGTGTATGCGAGTGTGTGTGTGTGTCTGTATGTGTTGGGATATTCTGAGTTGACTGAACTGAAATTTTTGGGGAGGGTTAGGGAGGTCCCTTGTGTAGGAAAATTGATGGAGGCTGAGTAGCTGAGAATTGGGGTCAGGGTGCCAGGGTTGTTGGTCAGGGACCGGGCTGGCTAGGGAAGGTGGACCCACCCTTGAATCTTCTCACCCCCATGTTTCTGGACAGGACCCCTGAATCCATCATTGTCTGGGAGGTCCGAGAGTCTATCTGGAATGTTTGTGATCCCAGGGGGTCTGGTGGGAGAAGTACTCATTCTGGAAGTCACTGGTGATGACAAAGAAGACAGATATTGCATTGGAACACAAAACACTGTGAGTTCCTGAAGCAACTTAAATGTCATCACTTTCTCAAAAATAAGATATCAGGTGGGTGGGGGTGAGGGTTCCAAACTCCCAGAAGTGACACTCTGAAGAGGGTTCTCAGCCTTGAGGTTTGGAGAGGGTGGGTGTCCAGGACAGCTTTTTAATGTTTTTGTTGTTGTTTTTTATGCCTGAGAAAGTGGGCCAAATGACCTCAAATCTCATGGGCAAGAACAGATCATATATATATATATATATATATATATATATATATATATATATATATATACACACATATATATATAATGTCTATAGACTATTACATTTTGAAAATGAAATGTATTTTAATAAACACTGCCTTTATAATTATAAAAAAATTAAAAGGCAACCTTCAATTTGAAGAAAATGTTTGCAAATCATATATCTTACAAACAGTTAACATACAAAATACTATATAAAGAACTCTTTTAATTCAATAGACAAAACACACAAAACTACACCATCGAATTTAAAAATGGGTAGTGGATCTGATAGACTAATCACGGAAACCTGATTGCCCACCTCCCTCTTAGCGCCCTGCCCTAGCTCCTCTCTCTCATCCTTGACAAAATGCTTCTGTGCTGCTCTTAGCGGTGAGGGTTCTGGATGCCCTATAAGCTCCCCCAACAATCTCTGTATGCCCACTCCAAGCCCCTGTACCATCACATCTCTTGAAGCGGCTAGTAAGGATCTCTCCAGATGAAGAATTGAATCCGTGAGCACAGCGACAGGCAGTGGCATTGACACATTTGGAGTTCCGAGGACACCACCAAGCACAGTCTTCCGGGGTAGAGGCTGTGGGTATGGAGAGCATGGTCAGAAGGCCCATGAAATGGAAGAAGTCAGCTACCAGCTGGGGATCCAAGGGCTTGTAGGAAGGGGTGAGGAGAATGAAGATGATGCCAGACAAGCAAGAGCCACCCAGATAGTGGATGCCAGAGTGGGGGAGAGAGGGAGTTATGGCTGATACTGGACTTAGCAGAGCTCAGAAAATTCTGGACATTTAGGGAGGAAGAAATAGCTTCTCTTATTTTCAGAAGACCCTCTCTGGGCCTCTTCAGAGTAAGCCTCCTTCTCTCCTTGTTAATGAGAGGACCCAGACCCCAGCAAGCACTACCCAGCTTATGCCACTAATTGCCCTGGCTGGGAAGACTCACCTTTAACGGTTTCTTCTGCAGCATCCAATGTGGAAAAGAGCTGCAAATAGAGTCCTGATACTGAAAGACAGAGAGATGATCAAGATAGGAAAGTGGAGCTCTAATTTCAACCCCTGTCCACAGGGCCACTCCACCTGGGAGGTGGCTCTGGCCCTGCAGCCCACAGCTTTCTGGCAGCTTCTTTGAGGTTTCTATACTTGAAATCAAGGACTCTGTCTTTCCCCTCCATTTCCTGGGACTCCCCAAGGAGTCAGTCACTGAGAGTCAGGGAACCTCAGGTGCTACAGGTAAGGGGACAGAACATACAACAGCTGATGACAGGGACACATCTTAGAAACTCCAACCTTTTCCAATGGAGAGTATATCTTAAAGGAGAAAGTACTCAGGCTGGCTTGCCTTTTCCCATGTCCACATTCTTTGTTCTTTGGCAATGGCAGAAATCTGCTTTGAAAAGGCCCCACTCTCTCCTCCTAGTGAGTAGCTGCCAGTTCTTATTCACATGGAGGCATCCTATAGGTGAATGTTGTGGCTTCAATGCTCTGTTGTCCAGTTGTGGATGTACTAGTAAGTGTCCTGAGTTCTCCCTGTCTTTTAGCCCCTGCGCACTCGCTTCCCTGGCAGCTCCCAGGTGGGGCAGCTCCCAGGTGGGGACATCATGATTACCTGTGTCCCAGCCTGAGGATTTGGACAAAGGCCAGGGTGGGCCTTCCTGGGAGCCAAATGCAGGAGAAATGTGTTCCCTGAGCAGTACCCAGCTTGGCTCCCATTGATGGCCTTTGTCCTGCTTCCTCCAGGACAGCTGCTCTCTGCCTTAATTCTCCTTGCTGGCAGGACAGATTTCTCCCTTCCATGCTAACTCTGAGACTCAAGCTGGCTCAAGACCCATCCATGAACCTGACTCCTCAAGGGGCTTGGAGGAAGGGGTGAGGAGAATGAAGATGATGCCAGACAAGCAAGAGCCACCCAGACAGTGGATGCCAGACCATGGTAGACAATGGGGGTTGATGTCCAGCCATGCAGGCTTGGGGTGGTGAAGGTGCCTCTTATGATCCCCACAAAGGCATCCCCTGAACTGACAGGAAGTAGTGAGAATTCACTTCTGAGTAAGGCCAGCAGTAGGTAAGGGCTGGGTGGCTGAAGAAGGGAGCAGATGCTGATGGATGAGGAGTGGCAGCTATTTCTGTTATCTGGTTTCTTGGTCTCCACCAGGGACACAGACCTATAGGTCCTATTGAGGGGGGACTCACCCTCTATCATCTGTGCCCCAGTGGTTTGGGCCCCCACGTGGCTTGAGTTGACCTCTACCAGAGAGGGTCAGGCCTGAGGCAATGGTGTCCAATTACATCCTCTCTTTCAATCTTATCCAGATAGGAGCCTCTTCCATTTATCCAACTTTCTGAGTATGTGTGGGGTGGTCTATGTCACCCTGCCCACATCCAACACAACATCCTCCTGGGTGCTATTCATCTGAGTTGCCCACAGGCCCATGAACTGAACTTATTGGATTGGATCAGGGTGGAGCCTTGCTTGGGAAAATAGATTGGCTGAGAGGCTGAGAAGTGGGGTCAGGGTGCAAGTAGGGGTTTCACCAGGTGTGGTTGTTGGCCAGGGAAGGACCAGCTGGGCCACATGGACCAACCCTTGACTCTTCTCACATGTCTGAGCAGGGTTCTTCAAGGCCTGAGGGATATGAAATTGCTCCTAGGTGACCAAACCTATGTGGACTCTAGTGAGGGAAGATCTCATCCTGGCAATTACTGATGAAGAAGAAAAGGATGGATATTGCACTGGAATGCAGTACTCTGTGAGCTCTTGAAGTATCTTGAATTCCACCCCTTTCTTTGTTTTATGAAATTAAGATGCCAAGTAGTAAGAGGATGTTCCAAAATTGCATAAGTGGCACTTGGTGGGGGCATTCAGAGCCTTGGGGTTCTGAGAGGGTGGGAGACCTGGTTAGTGCCCAAGCTACCATCTGATGAGCTAGAGAAAGGATTGAGAATTCCAAACCTAAAGAATGAGAAGGTGGAAGACATGGGATTTTTCTTACAATCACAGGGTTTATCAGGATCAATGCCGAACATTGCCTCAGAAGCAGGCCTGTAGCCTTGGCCGCAATGGCAGTAGGACTCCATGAAGTCTTGGCAGTCTAAATATACTCCACAGGACACTATTGAGTTTGGTCCACAGTCCTTGATGTCTGGAACACAATAGGACAAAATGTCACCTCTCAAAGGCACAAAAGTTCTCATTGGGCAGAGACCCTGCCCTCCAGTCTGACCCTGTCATGGGGGCTGTACAGAACACAGGTCTAGGGTTGCACTCCAGGATGGAGCTGGGCAGAATCGGCTGCTCCAGTGCCTACTGACTCCTCTGCCCATCTTTACTTTCTGAGGCACCTGCAATCAGACACTCTGCTGTGTCATGATGGGGTTGAAAGGAAGTCTGCATCCCTCTCTTCAGGCCTTGACGGGTAGATGGAGACACTGATTCAGGCTCCAAACCCTCCTTTGTGGTGCTATTTGCATCATTGCGACTTGGGGGTGGCCTCCAGTTAGGGTGACAGTGGATTTGATGGCCATCCTCAATGCTGAGGTTGTGGAGGGAGTCATGGATGGGGGCTGTACAGGGTGACGTGGCACTCATCACACACCTGGAGATAGAACCAGGTGTCAGCCCCTGCCATTGACAGCTTCCACTTCTCTTTAATCACAGTGGGCCAAGTACACCTCACCCTCCTTGATAAGTCTTCTTATCTCCATCCTGGGTAAGATCCCCTGTCATCAGAGGCAGTAGGGGAAGAAGCAGCACGAAGGTGCTCACAGCTGTCATGGGGGTGTTCTCTGGCATCTTAACCCTCCATGTTCTCTAAACCTGAGAGAAAGATGCCCATGAGCCAGGTCTCATTTGAGTAGCTCAGGGATTCATTGAGCAGTGGCTAGACACCACTGGGTAAGAACAGCAACTTAATAAAAACGAAATGAATAAAAATGTAGGGTCAGAAAGTTTGACCCTGTACATTCCAATCAAGGGACCAAAGACTTTAGGGCCTGAAAGGACTCATTGGGATCATGATGAGTCAATTAGTCTCCTCCCAGGTCAGAGTTTCTTTTCTAAATTCATGAATTTCCCTTTTAAGGCCTAGGCTGTGGAGTCAGACCAGGACAGGAGAGGAACTGGGAGGGACCCACATCTGTGGGATTCATGTTTAGCCCCCAGACCTGTAGGGGAGGGAGTTGGGGGCAATCAGGGGAACAGTTAGGCATTGATCAGGCTGGCAGGGGAGTGGTTAGGTGGCAACAGGCAGGCAGGCAGGTGAGCAGTTGGGAGCCAGCAGTCCCGGATTGTGAGAGGGATGTCCACAGGGATCGGGCCTAAACTGGCAGTTGGACATCCCCAGAGGGGTCCCAGATTGGAGAGGGTGCAGGCTGGGCTGAGGGACATCCCCCCCGAGTGCACGAATTTTGTGTACCAGGCCTCTAATGAAAATAATAATTACAGTAACAGCAGTAACAATGGTAATAGCTCCATTGTGTAAGCTCTAAACACCCTTCCTACTAATTACAAAAACCTAACTGCCCACTTCCTTCGTACTACCCTGCCCTGTCTCCTCTCTCTAATCCTTGACAAAATGCTTGTGCTGCTCTGGATGCACCACAATCTACCCCAATAATCTCTTTATGTCCCTCCACCCCTTTCCCCCAAACCTCTGTACCATTGCAACTCTTCAAGTGTCCACTGGTGAAGACACTACTTGATGCAGCACTGAATCCCGGTGCACAGTGACAGGAGGGGGCATTGACACATGGAGGGTTCGGAGGGCACCATCGAATACAGGCTGTGGGGTGGAACAGTGAGGATGGAGGCCATGGTCAGAAGGCTCAGCAATGGATAAAGCCATGGACAACTGTGAGTTCAAGACTAGAGGAGGGGAGATAAGGGAGGGATGGCTGCTATTGGAAGAGGAATAGACAAAAAAATCTGGGCATTTAGAGAGGTAAAACAGCTTTTCTTATCTCCAGAAGACCATCTCTGAGCCTCACTTGCAGAATAAGCCTTCTTCCCTCCCAACTGGTGAGAGGACCCAGACCATAGCCTGCACCCCCCAGCTTAATATCACTAATGGGCATCTGTGTGGACAGACTTACCCCTATCCTCCTGGGCTGCAGAAACTAATGGCAACAACAGCAGCACTGACAGTTCTGGGACAGAAAAACATGAAGAGAAGACAAAGAAAAGAGAGTCAATCTCCAATTTCAAAACCTGGCTGCATGGCCATTGCTTCCTTTGGAGGTGGTTCTTACCCTGCAGCCCATGGCCTTCCAGCAGGTTCTTCGTGTACTTGACTGGGAATTGAGGACTCAATCTTTCCCCTCCACCTCCCAGAAAAACCTGAGAAATCAGTCACCAACAGATACAGTCCTCATGGATCCTCAGGTGCCACAGGTTAGGGGACAGAACATACATGACGGATGCTGATAGGGACACGTCTTAGAAACCCCAACCTGTCCCAAAGGAGGGGATAGATCTTCAAGATCCCTTTGCCCAGATCTAGTTTCTTGTTCTCTGGCAATGGTAGAAATCTGAGGATTTCTCTTCCAGGATCATTTCCCTTGTTAAAAGTACATTTTCTGGGTATACAAAAGGAGCTGGGTATTAGAATTAGACTCCAAAGTGTGAGCCCTAGCTCACAGTGTCAGCAAGGATAAGAACCCTGGAATGGAGAGATGGGGGCTAATGAGAGGTGAGGAGTGAGAACGAAGGCAGCTGCAGGTAGAGTCACTATCTCCTGGTTAAGTGGCCTCTCCAGGTATAGCACCCATGGCTTCTTTGGCTCCTTCCACATGAGCTCCTGGCCCTCAGACAGAGCACTGAGGGCACAGCCTTTGCCCTTTTTCTTCCAGTTCAGCCCTAAGGAATAAGTCACTGAACAGGCTTTGTGGTCTGAAAACCACTATAGGTGCACAGGGATGAAACCTACCCTCCAGGCGATAACTGGATCACATATGTAGAGTCCATCCTTTCATGCATATGAGTCAGTGAACCCTATGCAAATTCAGCTCTGTGTGCCTTTACAAGAAGTTTCTAAAATGTGTCCATTCTTAAAAAAGTCATGTACCACAAATCAGATAATGATAAAATGTGGCTATGTTTCATAAAAACCAGGAAGCAAATTACAACCAATGGGGAAAACCTAATGGAAACACCGAACGTACTAGGTAACAGTTGCTATCCTAAGCATTGAAGGAAATAAAGACTAACCAGGCTTTGGCTGACCTCATTAATACTGATTTTACTAATTCACTATCCTTTAAATCATGCCATGATACACACACAAAGATGATGTATTTCTTAGCATAATAGAGTTTTCAGATAGCTTGATTATTTAACCTTCTGAAAAAAATGATATGTGCTAGTTAATCTTATGTATCAATTTGGTTAGACTACAGTACCCAGACATCTAGTCAACATTAGTTTACTAGAGGCCCGGTGCACGGAATTTGTGCACAGGTGGGGTCCATAGGCCTGGCCAGCGAACAGGGCCAATCGGGGCCAAGCCAGAGAGGAGGCAATGGTTGCCAGGCTGGGCACGGAAAGAACGGACACCAGATGCTGATTTGGCCATCATCGGCGTCCCGCCACCGTGTGGTTCCCTGCCTCCCTCCCTCCCTCCTTCCTCACTGCTGCTACTGTGGCAGTTGGGTGGCAGGTCGATTGGGGCCTGCCAGCTTGGGGGGAGGGACAGGGCATGGGAGGTTGGCCACTGGCCCTGAGGAGGGAGCTGGCCCTCAGCCCCCCTGGGAAAGGGGCAGTGTCTACTGCCACCCACCCCTGGTTCCCAGTCCCAGCCTGGAGGCTGGCCCCAATCAGGTGATCAGGGCCTACTGGCCAGGAGGAGGGATAGGTGGAAGTTGGTCAGCCTTCGGAGGTTGGCTGTGGGAGCACACTGACTACCAGGGGACAGCTCCTGCATTGAGTGTCTGCCTCCTGGTGGCCAGTGCGTGTCATAGTGACCAGTCATTCTGGTCGTTCTGGTAGCTTAAGCTTTTATATACAGTATATAAAGACTAGAGGCTCAGTGCACAAAATTTGTGCTGGGCGGGGGGGGGGGAAGGGGGGAGAGTCCCCTCAGCTCAGCCTGCATCCTCTCCAATCCTGGACCCCTTGGGGGATGTCCATCTACTGGGAATCAGGCCTAAACCAGCAGTCGGACATCCCTCTCACAATCCCGGGCTGCTGGCTCCTAATTGCTCACCTGCCAGCCTCCTTGGTTGCCCCTAACTGCTGGCCTCCTTGGTCATCCCTCATGGCCCCACCACTGGCCTGGTCATCCCACGCAGACTGCTTGTTCAGTCGTTTGGTAGTCCCTCACTAACCACCCTGCCGACCTGGTTGTAGGCAGCCATCCTGTGAGGGTGTGAAGGTTAATTTGCATATTTCCTCTTTATTACATAGGGTGTTGCTGTGAATGTGGGTTTTTAAAAAATCTTTATTGTTGAAAGTATTACATATGTCCCTCTTTTACCCCATTGACCTCTCCCAGCCTACCCCTACTCCCCACCCCAAACCTTTACCACCCTATTGTCTGTGTTCCTGAGTCATGCATATATGCATACAAGATCATAAGTTGATCTTTTCCCACTCACCCACACTCCCTTGCTTTCCCTCTTAGGGTTGACAGTCTGTTCTGTGCTTCTATAACTTTGAATCTATTTTAGATAAGATTAACATTTAAGTCAGTAGACTGTGAGTAAATCAGATTGCCCTCCATAATCTGGGTGGGCCACATCCATTCAGTTAAAGACCTTAAGAGAAAAAAGACTGACTTCTTCTTCTGTGGAAGAGGGAATTCTGCTTCCAAACTGCCTTTTTAAATTTTATTTTATTTTTAGCGAGAGCGGAAGAGAGAGGGAAAGACAGAGAGAAACACATTGATTGGTTCCCTCCTGTATGCTCCCTGACCATGGCCCAGGCCGGGGAGGAGCCTGTAACCAAGATACGTGCCCTTGACCGAAATCAAACCGGGACCCTTTGGTCCGAAGGCTGATGCTCTATCCACTGAACCAAACTGGCTAGTGCCTAAACTGCCTTTAGACTTGGACTTCAGATGCAACATCAATTCTTCCCTGGGTTTTCAGCCCACTGGCCTGCTTGGTGGATTTTGAACTTTCCAGCCTCCACTAATCTCATGAGCTCATGCCTTATAATAATGAGTTTCTCTCCCCCCTTTCTGCCTTTCTCTCTCTCTCCCTCTTGCCCTCTCTCCTTCTCTCCTTCCCTCTCTCCCTCCTTTTCTCCCTCTCTGCTTTCCTCCCTCCCTCCTATTGATTCTGCTTCTCTGAAGAAACTGGACTAAAACTAGTGGTTAATGGGAAATGTCTGTTAAGTCCTTGAGTATGCCCTAGGAATAAGTTTCACTAACTTTCTCCTCTGAGATTTAATATAAATCAGTTAATGTCCTTAAATTTTCTTCCAGTGTACCTTATAGAGATACTGGGAAAACAAGTCAGGTATCAAGCAAAAAACAAATAATATTTTCAAACTGGGTAGAGAGTTCCCAGATAGCTTTGATTGTCTATGGTCATTGCTATAATTTTACCTACCTGGCAGCACTCTTAGACATCTGTTTCTCATGGTGCAGATGCAAGTCCAGCCACTAAGGATTTCTGATCTCAGTCTGTGTGTGTTAGAAAAACCCTTTCTATTTGAAGTATATATTGTGTCCTAGAGGAAGTGACTTAAGAAACTGTTGATTTGCATTTTTTCTTTCCCATAATCTGCCCAATAATTAACTTCTCAGGAACTCCAGTTCTTCTTTTTAAAAATTTACACAGTATTTTAAGTCTGTACAGGAGGCCTCTTTGAGGGTGATTTTTAAGTGTTTTTACAGAGGAAAATGTGATACTGTGCATTCAAAGACCTCCCCAAATGAAGAATCACTCTACTGGTCTTTTTGCCCCTATAGGACCTTAGGTCAGAGTGAACAGAATTATCTCTTTATTATCTGTTAATAGATATTTTATTGAGGTATAATTGACCTACATTATATACTTTCAGATGTACAACATCATAATTCAATAACTGTATACACTGGGAAATGATCACCAGAATGTCTAGTTAGCATTCATCACCATGTATAATTATAATTTTTTTTGTGATAAGAACTTTTAAGTTCTACTTTTTTAGCAACTTTTAAATATGCAATACTTTATTATTGACTACAGTCACAATGCTGTACATTACATGCCCTGGCTTATTTATTTTGTAACTGGAAGTTTATATCTTTTTACTCCATTTAACCATTCCCCCCATTCACCCCCCAACTCTGGCAGTAACTAATCTGTGCTCTGTATCTATGAACTATTTTTTTATTTTTATTTCACATATAAGTGAGATCACATGATATTTGACTTTCTCTGTCTGATTTATTTTTCTAGGCATGGTGACCCCCCATCTCCATCCATGTTGTCATCAATAGCAACACTTCATTCTTTTTTTAAATGGCGAAATCAGACAGTCAAACCTCAGAGGGAAGGTAGGGGAGGGTGGGGGTAAGGGGGAGAGATCAACGAAAGGACTTATATGCCAGCATATAGGCCTAACCAATGGACACAGACAACAGGCAGGTGAGGGCATGAGTGGGGTGGATGGGGGGTAACATGGGGATAAGGACACATATGTAATTACTTAATCAATAAAAAAATAAAAAAAATATTCTCATTCATGAATAGGCAATTAGACTGTTTCCATATCTTGGCTGTTGTAAATAATGTTGCAATTAACATGCGGATATATATTTCTTTTTGAGTTCGTATTTTCTTCAGAAAAATACCCAGAGATTAAATTGCTAGATCATATGGTAATTTTATTGTAATTTTTTAAGGGACCTTCAAAAGTTACTGTCTTGTTGCTATTTTAAAATACATATAGATTCACAGGAAGTTGGAGAAACAATGCTGAGGTTCTGTGTACCCTTCACCCAGGTTCTTGGAAAGATGACACTTTTATGTAATGATAGTCACATACTTAAGCCAAGAAGTTGGGATTGGTACAATGTGTGTGAATAGTTCTGTGACTTTTTTTTTTAAGTTTATTTTATTTTATTTTATTTTTTTTTTATTGCTTAAAGTATTACAAAGGGTATTACATATATGTCCTTCCCCGCCCCCCGTGCCCTTGACAATCCCCTTGCCTCCCCTACCCCCCGTGTTTTATGTCCATTGGTTATGCTTATATGCATGCATACAAGTCCTTCGGTTGATCTCTTACCCCCATCCCTACTGCCCCCCAACCCTCCACGGCCTTCCCGCTGCAGTTTGACAATCTCTTTGAGGCAGCTCTGCCTCTGTATCTATTATTGTTCAAAAGTTTATAATGGTCTTTATTATCCATGAATGAGTCAGATCATGTGGTATTTTTCCTTCATTGACTGGCTTATTTCACTTAGCATAATGCTCTGCAGTTCCATCCATGCCTTTGCAAATGGTAAGAGTTCCTTCTTTTTTACAGCAGCATAGTATTCCATCGTGTAGATGTACCATTGTTTTCTAATCCATTCATCTACTGATGGGCACTTAGGCTGTTTCCAGATCTTAGCTATGGTGAATTGTGCTGCTATGAACATAGAGGTGCATATATCCTTTCTGATCGGTGTTTCTGGTTTCTTGGGATATATTCCTAGAAGTGGGATCACGAGGTCAAATGGGAGTTCCATTTTCAGTTTTTTGAGGAAACTCCATACTGTCTTCCATAGTGGCTGCACCAGTCTGCATTCCCACCAGCAGTGCACGAGTGTTCCTTTTTCTCCACATCCTCTCCAGCACTTGTCGTTTGTTGATTTGTTGATGATAGCCATTCTGACAGGTGTGAGATGGTACCTCATTGTTGTTTTGATTTGCATCTCTCGGATGATTAGTGACTTTGAGCATGTTTTCATATGTCTCTTGGCTTTCTGAATGTCCTCTTTTGAAAGGTGTCTATTTAGATCCTTTGCCCATTTTTTGATTGGATTGTTTATCTTCCTTTTGTTAAGTTGTATGAGTTCCCTATAAATTTTGGAGATTAGGCCCTTATCAGATATGACATTGGCAAATATGTTTTCCCACACAGTGGGTTTTCTCGTTGTTTTGTTGATGGTTTCTTTTGCTCTGCAGAAGCTTTTTATTTTGATGTAGTCCCATTTGTTCATTTTCTCTTTAGTTTCAAGTGTCCTCGGAGCTGTATCAGTGAAGAAATTGCTTCAGCATATGTCTGAGATTTTATTGCCTTTGGATTCTTCTAGAATTTTTATGGTTTCCTGTCGTACATTTAAGTCCTTTATCCATTTTGAGTTTATTTTTGTGTATGGTGTAAGTTGGTGGTCTAGTTTCATTTTCTTGCATGTATCTGTCCAATTTTCCCAACACCATTTATTGAAGAGACTATCTTGACTCCATTGTATGTTCTTGCCTCCTTGGTCAAATATTAATTGAGCATATTGGTTCGGGCTGATTTCTGGGCTCTCTATTCTATTCCATTGATCTATATGTCTGTTCTTGTGCCAGTACCAGGCAGTTTTGAGAATAGTGGCTTTGTAATACAGCTTGATATCTGGTTTTGAGATCCCACCTACTTTTTTCTTTCTCAGGATCGCTGCAGCTATTCGGGGTCGTTTTTTATTCCAGATGAATTTTTGGAGAGTTGGTTCTAGATCTGTGAAGTATGCTGTTGGTATTTTAATGGAAAGTGTGTTGAATTTATAGATTGCTTTGGGTAGTATGGACATTTTAATGATGTTGATTCTACCAATCCATGAACACAGTATGTTCTTCCATCTGTTTATGTCTTCCTCTATCTCTTTTTTCGACGTCCTGTTGTTTTCTGAGTAGAGGTCTTTTACCTCTGTAGTTAAGTTTATTCCTAGGTAGCTTAATTTTTTTGGTGCAATGGTAAATGGGATTGCTTTTTTAGTCTTTCTTTCTGTAAGTTTACTATTGATGTATAGAAATGCCTCAGATTTCTTGGGGATAATTTTGTATTCTGCTACATTGCCAAATTTGTTGATTAAGTCTAGTAGTTTTTTGATAGAGTCTCTAGGGTTTTGTATGTATAATATAATGTCATCTGCAAATAAGGACAGTTTTACTTCCTCTTTTCCAATTTGGATGCCTTTTATTTCTTCTTCTTTTCTAATTGGAATGGCTAATATTTCCAGTACTATGTTGAACAGGAGTGGTGAGAGTGGCCATCCCTGTCTTGTTCCTGTTCTTAGGGGAAATGGTGTTAGTTTTTGTCCATTGAGTATGATGTTGGCTGTGGGCCTGTCATATATGGCTTTTATTATGTTGAGGTATGATCCTTCTACTCTCACCTTGCTGAGAGTTTTTATCAAAAATGGGTGTTGGATTTTGTCAAATGCTTTTTCTGCATCAATTGATATGACCATGTGGTTTTTTTTCTTTCAATTTGTTTATTTGATGTATCACATTTATTGATTTGCGGATATTGTACCATCCTTGCATCCCTGGGATAAATCCTACTTGGTCATGGTGTATGATCTTTCTGATGTACTGCTGGATCCGATTTGCTAAGATTTTGTTGAGGATTTGGGCATCTATGTTCATGAGGGATATTGGCCTGTAATTCTCTTTCAATGTGTTGTCTTTACCTGGTTTTGTTATTAGGGTGATGCTGGCTTCATAGAATGATCTTGGAAGTATTCTTTCCTCTTGAATTTTTTGTAGTGGTCTGAGGAGGATAGGTTTTAGTTCTTCCTTGAATGTTTGGTAAAACTCCCCTGTGAAGCCGTCTGGTCCTGGGCTTTTGTTTGCTGGGAGCTTTTTGATGACTGCTTCAATTTCTTCCATAGTTATTGGCCTATTGAGATTTTTAGATTCTTCCTGATTGAGTGTTGGAATGTTGTGTATTTTTCTAGAAATTTGTCCATTTCCTCCAGGTTGTCTAGTTAGTTGGAGTAGAGTTGTCCATAGCATTTTTTAAAAAATCATTTGTATTTCTATGGGGTCTGTTGTTATTTCACCTCTATCGTTTCTGATTTTGTTTATTTGGTCCTCTCTCTTTGCTTCTTGGTGAGCCTGGCTAGAGGTTTGTCAATCTTGTTTATCCTTTCATAGAACCAGCTCTTGGTTTCATTGATTTTCTGTATTGTTTTTTTGGTCTCTACATCATTTATTTCTGCTCTGATATTTATTATCTCTTTCCTTCTGCTCACTGTGGGCTTTTCTTGTTGCACTCTTTCTAATTCTTTGAGTTGTAGAGTTAGATGATTTACTACCATTTTTTCTTGTTTTTTGAGATAGGCCCGTAGAGCTATAAACTTCCCTCTCAGGACTTCTTTCATTGCATCCCACAGATTTTGGATTGTTGTGTTTTCATTGTCATTAGTTTCCAGGATGTTTTTAATTTCTTCTTTGATCTCATTGTTAACCCAACCAATATTTAATAACATGCTATTCAGCTTCCAAGTGTTTGAGTATTTTGGGTTGTTTTTATTGTAGTTTATTTCTAATGTTATGCTATCATGGTCTGAGATGATGCTTGGTATGATTTCAATCTTCTTGAATTTGGGGAGACTTTTTTGTGACCCAATATGTGGTCTATTTTTGAATATGTCCTATGAGCACTTGAGTAGAATGTATATTTCGTGGCTTTGGGGTGAAGTGTTCTGAAGATGTCAATTAA